CAATTGAGATGCATAGGAGTTACAGCCACCTATCAATTTCACTGGGTTTCTTGCCTTTTAATGTAATGAAACTTTATTGTTACTCCAAGAAGCCCTTGTGGCACAGTAGGATAAGCACTAGACTGCTAACCCTAAGGTCAGTCATTCAAACCCATCTGCTGCTCTGGGAGAAAGATGAGGCTGTCTGCTCCCTTAAAGACGTGCTGCCTAGGAAACCTTAGGAGTCAAAATCAACATGATAGCACTGGGTTGGGTTGGGTTTTTAATATTACATTGAAGTTTTCTATTTTGCACTTCGAGGACATGTTCAGTTCCTTCTGTATATATTGTTATTAAGTGCTGTCAAGTAGGTTCCGACTCATAGCATCCCTGTATAGGGTTGTCAACCTTGTGGTTAGTGGTCCAATGCTTATCGTACAGTACCACCCCAGGACTACATAAGACTATATGGCATATAGTCATCTATACTTTCTATATGCATTAATTAATTGTATCTTCCCCAAGCCCTTTGAGGTGGGTACATATTATGTTAATTTTACAAAGGAAGAAATGTAATTCTGTACTTGACTTTGAGTGACTTAATTATCCTTCGTTCAAGTACCCAATAAGGTAGAAGCAATACAACATGTTTGACCTCAGTTAGGAAACCAACATATTGATGGCAGCAACCAGGACGATTCAGAAGTTCATTGAAAAGAGACCCAAAATTACATCATCCCCAAGAGCAAAGCACCAATATGTACCTACACAAATCAGCAGTAACTAGCCTCTTGCCATGAGTCTCAAATTCCTTTGGAAATTCAGTATAACCCAAGATATACAACTGATCAGTCAAGTCCTTGTGTGGCACAGCAGGCTAACGTGCTGGACTGCAAGGTCAGTTTGAACCACAGGGTCAATGGTCCAAGCTCACCAGCTGCTCCTTGGAAACTGTATATAGGAACCAACTCAATGGCACTTAACAACAACAACAATGGAGTGTTTATCGATGCTATTCTTTCTTTTTTAAAAAAAGAAAACAAGCCTTGGAAAATATTTTTTAAAGTCTTATACTCAATATATAATGAAGCAAAACCATGAAATAAATATGCAAAGAGATGTCAACTTCCTATATGAGGCAAACGGAGCTCTGATGGTGTAGTGTTACGCACTGCGGTTTTACCGCAAGGTCGGCCAGTGCACCAGTTACTCTGTGGGAGAAGAATGAGACTTTCTGCTCAGGTAAACATTTACAGCCTTGAAAACCCTATAAACAGGATCACTGTGAAGCAGCTCGATGGCACACAACATATAAGAGAAATAATCAGCTATGCAATAGAAAATAAAATCATTCGTTCACATTAATATCAACAAGAAGAAACTTCCAGGAAGAAAATTGCAAAGCTCCATCAAGAGATGGAGTTCTGGTGTGGTGCTGTGTTGATGAGCTGGACTGCAAGATTGGCGATTCAAGCTCACCAGCTGCTCCTTAGAAACCCTATACAGAGTCGCTATGAGTGAGAAACAACTTGAAGGTAGCAGTAACAATTAAGAGATACAAAACCACTGGTGTTGCAGTTTTAAGTGCTCCGCTGCTAACCAAAAGATGGGCAGATCAAACCTACCATCAGTTCCTCTGGCGAAACATGTGGCAATAAGCTTCCATAAAGATGTTGTTGTTGTTG